ACCTTAAGCTCATGCCTTAGTATGAAGCTTGGGATCCTGCCTCACCCTTTTAGGGAAGAGAGTGAATATGGTCCTGAGCAAGATTTCTGGGCACTTCACCCGTTCTGCCTCTGCCAGGCTGTCTGGGTAAGTGTCAAGAATGTAACAGAAGGAAAAGAGGAAGACTTCTAGGAACAAGAGCCCCTCCGGTCCCCTTCCAAGACAAGTTTGGGGACAGTGCTCCCACCTTTTCTAGTTTCCTTCCAGCCTTTAGCCGGCACTCCCTGGGCCTCCCTCCCAGCGTTACCCTATAATCACAGTGTTTGCAGATTGATTTAAGAAGCAGTAAGTGGTGATCCCTTCTGCTGATCACTATGTTGAAAATATGATAATTCCCGCACTTGTGTCATATAAGTATCCTAGGGCCCCAAACCCTGCAGTCATGCTCTGTTACCATAGAGGATATATTCAGAAATAATATAAGCCTGCTGTCTAAATTGCACCTTTTTGCCTTTGAAATAACAGTATAATAGAGTGTAACAGAGCGGTAACTCTGAAACTGGCTAATTTGCATCCTGGTTCTAACACTTACTAGTTAGCTGAGTGATATATCCATTGTCTGCTTCAGACAATGGTGTCAAGGCTGTCGTCCATCCTAATGAGTAGATACATATAAAGTACTTAGAAAAGTGCATGACTGTCCAGCGCAGTGGCCCACACCTATAATCCCAGCACTTTGGGAGCCCAAGGCAGGCGGATCACGAAGTCAAGAGATCAAGACCATCCTGGCCAACATGGTGAAACCTGTCTCTACTAAAAATACAAAACTTAGCTGGGCATGGTGGCGCACACCTGCAGTCCCAGCTACTCGGGAGGCTGAGGCAGGAGAATCACTTGAACCTGGGAGGCAGAGGCTGCAGTTAGCCAAGATCGCACCACTGCACTCCAGCCTGGCAACAGAGTGAGGCTCCAAAAAAAAATTGTATGACACATATTTAAGGCTCAAAAAATTTAGATATTAATGTCTCTATAGTTTCCTTCTTGATTTAATCACCACACAAATGAATCTCTCTTTAATTTTATCAACAGCAAAGGAGAACACTATATACATAATATATCTTTATAATAATATATCTTTAGGCACATTCTTCTCTGTTGTTTAATTCATGAAAACATAAGATGCCACATATTAAGTGGAGTAAATTTTAATTGAGAAAAAGAAGGTAATCTCAAAACATTTTTAGAAAACAAACAACCCATTTTATATCATTGCTGTGCAAACATAATTACTGGCAGAACTCTCTAATTCCTGGCCTTTGCATGGTCAAAAAGAACAGCAGCCTCTTTTGGACAAGCTGAGGCTGGGAATGTAAAGAATTAAGAAGTGGACAAGAAATGTTTTCAACATATTTATCCACAGAACCATCTAGGGAAGTGCCTGCTTTGCCAGCAAAGATGAAAATCTGAGATCTCATTGTGGCCTCCCAAACTGCTTCCCTAGCAGAGGTTACTAGAATTAGTGGACAATGGTGGGGGAACCTGACAAGGAATGTTACACAGTTTTATCCTCACAGGAAAGGAACTACTTGGATTTACATTATTTCTTTAACTCTCTGTAGCCACAAAAATGTCTCATCTTTGTTTCATAGGGTTCAGAAAGTTAATAAAAACCTACTGGAATATAAAAAGATGATGAAATATTTATTGAAAATGCAAATGTGATACTTAAACGTACTAGCAGCCCTAAAGGCACCTGAAAGCCAGTGTTCCTTTATTCGAGGGGAAAGCTTTACTTCAGAGCTTTATTTGAGCTTAATACCCCACTTGAGTGATATTTAAATAAAAGTAAAACAGAAAATGCCTCTTAGGAAAGAATGCCCTAATTTCAGCATTTCTCTTATATTAATTTAGAGGTCTCATTTTAACATTGCCCACAGGATAAAGTCTAAATTTCTCAGCCGTACATGCTGACCTCAATCTTTTCTGCATCTTCTTCTACCCCATCTCTTCAGTGGCCCTACCTCCATTACTTCTTTTCAGAACTTAATGCATCTGAAAGGCACACTCATTCCTCTATATCTTTACTCCTGAAACAGTTTGTTTAGTGTTATTGCTGTTGAAATTTTGCACATCTTTCAAATGTCAGTTCTCTTGGATGATTTTCTGATTCCCTGGATCTGTTCCTTTGCTCTCTCAGTCCCTAGTTCTTCATTTATTGCCCTGAGGCAGCTCTGCCCACTGTTTTTACTAATTGCATCCTTTTGTCATCATAAGCAGCTCTTTGGGGAAGGAGTACAATATTTCTTAGTCATATGTGTTTGGCATATATACAGTACCACATATAGACCAGAAACTAAATATCTATGAAATGAATGAAATACGAAGACCAAAAAACATTTCTGGAACTAGAACATGTATTCCCTCGAATCCCTTGCATGTCATCTCTATCTCACAGCCATTTTTACTGCCACCCTTGTGTCTTTGTATGTCTTCTATGACAGTCTAATTATGACATTCCTCGCTCAATTAGGAGCATGTAGTGCTCCAAATTGACCCTGGGACAATAATTTGACCTGAATGAGATAAAATTCAATCTTTATTCAGTGTCCTTTAAGATCTGACTTATGCCACCAGCAAACCTCACGTCACTCCTCCCCTTTCACTCTGTTAAACCCATGCAGCATTTCTGTGTCTCAGAAATGAGTTTTCTATGTGGAATGCCTTGTTTTTCCCTTTTCCTCCTCTTCATCTTCCACTGGCTGACTACTCATGCACCAGATTCTAGATAAGATGTTACTCATTTTGGAAATTATCCCCAGCTTCCCACACCATCTCCAGCCCCAGACTAGATTAAGTCTTTCTCCTTAGTGATCTAATAGCTAACAGTTAGATATCAGAAAGACTTGGGTCAAGATCTGATGCTATTGCTTACCAACTAGTAACTTCAGACCCTTGCAAACTTTAGCTTATTAAATCATAGATCACTGGGCCCCATTCCCAGAGTTTCTGAATCAGTGGGTCTGGGATGAGTCTTGAGAATTTGCTCTTCCAAGAGCTTTCTGGATGACACTGATGATGATGTTCTGAGGAACACAGAGAGAACTGATGCTTTCGATAATTTATTCATCTACCTCTGTTTACCACTGTAAACTTTAGTTTCAGCATCTGCACAGTAAGGCTAAAAGGAGTGTTTAAAAATTAGTTGAGATAATGTATGTGAAGGAGTTGACATGAATTAGGGCTCAGTAACAGTTAATATTGTTTTTGCATTATCATTGCTTTCATCATACTGTGTTGAATTGCATACTGAAGAGATCATGCCAAGTAAACTGAGAACCCCAAAAAGAGCAAAGATCACATTGGTTTTATTATTATTGTGTCACAGGTATCTTATGAAGTGCATTAGTAGTCACTAAATAAAAATATAATGGAGTGAATTCAAATACAAGCATTCGATAAGTATTTATCTTGATTGAACACTTCTTGTAGGTAGCCCCTACCTAGAATATTCCAGGTTTCTTAGTTTTGCTCATGATATTCTTGGGACTGTTTTGTTGATTACTTCCTAAATTACTTTTTGGTTATGGTGAGTCAGTCCCCAAACTTTCCTTTCTAAGAAGATTATACAAGCAACAGAAAGAACTTCTTCCTGTAAAGAGCTAGAAATGAATAACCACGTGGGCTATTCATTTGTCTCTGTAGTCAGTTTCATACTGAATGAAAGCAGTTACAGCAAAGTATTCCCCTGCCTTCTGTGCTTGAACATATGCCTTTACTTAACAGGGGATATGGGTTAGAAATTAACATGTGAGGAATTTAATTTTCAGTTCTTTGCAAATTTATGAAGCCTCCTCTTTGGAAAAGCCTTTCCTATTTTTACTGTCAGTCTATACTCACTTCTTCTCTTTGACCTCAGAACCTCATATTTTGTATTCATACATTATTAGTTCAGCAAGTATTTTTTTCACCACCTGCCATGTGGCAAGCCCTATTCTTACAGTGGTGATGCCACACTAAAATAACATACAGCTTCACAGAACCTAAAGCATAACATTTATCAACTTGCATTGTAATTGTTTGCTTCTCTGTCTCCTCCCCTGCTAAGTTTGAGCCTCCTGATGGTAGATGCGGTATCTCATTGAACTTTGAGTCTTCCTCTCAGTGTCTAGTGTATGGTAGACATTCATACATCTGGATAATTATCGTTTACATACAGTGACCCTTCTTATTATATTGGTGTGAGAAATGGAATTCAGCACCAGAGATCATATAACACTTGTCCTTGAAACAGTTTGGCACAAGATGTGTATTCTTTGACTTCCAAGTGTTGTTCGTTTGAATTTAAATTAGGATCAACCAGTAAAATGTGGGAGATTTTACATAACAATCCAGATTTCCAGCTTCTCTTGTAAAAGCCCACATTCCTGTATCACACATTGAGCTGAAGCTGTTGCTGGTCCACCTGCTCCTTGAGATGGGGCATGCCTTCTCCATTTCACTACAACCCCTAGTGTGCCCTATCATTTTGCACGTGTCAGGGAGGGGCAGGGGGGTGATGTGTGGTGAGAGGAGAATGAAATTCTTCCAACTCCACATAAATTTATGGAAAGTTTGTGTTTATAAGTTTATAGCAACCTAACTCCAACGTTGGAAATAATTTACTTTTTTTCTTCAGTGATGTGGAATGTTAACAAGCATTTGTTTTCATTTGAACTATATAGCATATTGAGTCATCAGTCTAAATTTTGTCTGTTTTTCTGCATTTTCACAGTAGGTTTCCTGTATTTCTCAAATTAGTTAAATAATTGCCAGCTACAGTCTACTGTGATGTGTGTCCTAGTCCAAAGTAAAAATATATCTAAGTCTATCGGGTTTAGGAATTTTTTTCCTTCTTTTTTGATTATTGAACTAACTCTTTTTATTTGCTTTGGTTTTGTCATTTGAGACTAGAATACTTAAATACATAAAATTGAATTAAAATTATAGTTTATCCAACTAAATATATTCGTATTTTGTTTCAGTTATCCTTAAAAAGAAGAGGAAGCAAAGATTTGCCGAAATCTGAAAAAAAGGCTCAACAGACTCCCACAGAGGTATGTGGAAATAAAATTTCAACTAGTACATCAGGTACCTCTAAGTGTATATAATAATAAGCAACATTTATAAATAGATATAATGGCCAGATAAACTTACACAAAACAAAGTCAAATTTGTATATTAATTATGTGGTCGTAGATACAGATAGTATAAATCAGTGTATTTACTTTTAAAGCCAGCCTTAACATCCCTATTAGAATTGTTTTTACATTGTAAGCACACAGAAAAAAATGTCATTTGTACTTTATATACTGCTATATTTGAGAACTATACCCATGATGCTAATCTTGTCCTTTTATAATTAATAAGGTCAATAGAATAGCTGTTCCTATAGTGTTAGGGGAGAGTAAAGAAAGGAATGTTGCAGAGGGAAGTCAGGAGGGAGAGAAAGTTACGTCTTTAGAGAGCCCTGGAATGAAGTAATTCTCCATACAAGTGATTGGAGAACCAAAAGAAAGGAGACAAAGAATAGAAATGAAACTTGAAAGATGTACTCAACATGAGCTTTTAAAAAACCTTACAAACACAGCCACAGTGCAGGCTGGCCCTGCTTCCAAGGTAAACAGGGGTGCTGATACTTCTAAAGAAGATTTTTAAATGGAAGAGGAAACATTTGGAATAAAAGTAACACTAGTGTTACAGAAAAGGGATTCCGATCCAGACCTCAAAAGAGGTTTCTTGGATCTTGTGCGAGAAAGAATTCATGGTGATCCCATGGAGTAAAGTGAAAGCAAGTTCATTAGGAAAGTAGAGGCATAAAAGAATGGCTGCTACATAGACAGAGCAGCTCCAAGGGCTGCTAGTTACCCATTTTATGGTTATTTCTTGATGATATGCGAAACAGGGAGTGTATTATTCATGCCTCCCCTTTTTAGAACATGTAGGGTTACTTCCTGATGTTGTCATGGCATTTATAAACTGTCAGGGCATTGGTGGGAGTGTAGCAGTGAGGACGACCAGAGGTCACTCTCATGGCCATCTTGGTTTTGGTGAGTTTTAGCCAGCTTCTTTATTGGAACACGTTTTATTAGCAAGGTCATTATGACCTGTATCTTGTGCCGACCTCCTATCTCATCCTGTGACTCAGAACACCTTCACCATCTGGGAATGCAGCCCCGTAGGTTTCAGCCTGTTTTTACCCAGCTCCTATTCAAGATGTGGTTGTTCTGGGTCACACGCCCCTGACATTATGACTCTCCAAAAACACTTGGCTAGATATTAACCTTTAAACTGTGTCAGTTGGAATCTATGGTACTGTAGTATACTTTTATGACTACAAGGCTTTTTTCACATTTGATAGATAATTTAACTAAAGTGATTTTAAATATTCAAAATTTGAAAAAGTTGATCTCAACCATAACATATTAACTGTATATTATTTTCCTTTTTCCTCCCTCTACCTGCTCTGTTCCTGCTGTTTTCTGCTGGTACTTGCACCAGAACATGTATAGACGTCAGCATTTCTAGAATCCCTGAGTCTCACAACCAAGACCACAATACCATTTTCTGTCCTTTCTCTCTGTTCCCCTAATAAGTCCCAGTATACTCTGTCATTACCGCTTTTCCACTCTGTCTTTGCTGTCACTTTATTCAACTCACTCTAAATATTTTGTTGTGAATCATTTCACGTGTTACCATGAATCTTCTCTCCTACATTGTTTTTAACCATAGTCTCTGATGAAGGAATTCTTAACTGCTTATTCTTGGCTTTATGGACCTCCACTCCCTATGCATGTGGGCAACTTTCTGCAAAAACATCCACAACTTTCATCAGTTTCTCAGTGAGGTCAGGGACCTTACAAAAGTTGAGATGCCATGCAATCCACCAGCTTTTATTTCATGAGCAAAAACTTCCTTATTTATAAGTATACTGCAGCATTTGAAGTTTCTACTATCATTTCTAACACATTTATTTTCAGAGGTTATGACCTGTCACTTTTCAAAAAACCCACCCCAGGAGATTGATCAGGCTATCTCCGATGAGATATCTCAATTATAAAATGGTCCATTTTTACAAAATTATAATGTGATTCCATTGCTCAGTCAAGGTTGCGGGCCACCAATCCACGTATTTGTATTACTGCAAATATACCATTCCATTGTAATTCTTGTTTATGTATTTATCTCTCCTACTTAGCCAGGGCATTTTTGTACACAGGGGCCATCTTACTCAGCTTTGAATCATCTGTGTCTAGTGATTGGCACTCTGCACGTGTTCAATACATGCTTTTAAATACTCCCATGTCTCCTTTTTCTAGGTTAAACCACACAAAATTGCCAACATGCTATTGAATTTGATGTACAGAAATAGCAATTTCTTTTTTTTTTTTTTTCTGTGACAGAGTTTCACTCTTGTCACCCAGGCTGGAGTGCAGTGGTACAATCTCAGCTCATTGCATCCTCCAGCTCCCCAGTTAAAGTGATTCTCCTTCCTCAGCCTCCTGAGTAGCTTGGACTACAGGTGTGTGTCACCATGCCCAGTTACTTTTTGTATTTTTAGTAGAGATGGGGTTTCACCATGTTGGCCAGGCTGGTCTCAAACTCTTGACATCAGATGATCCACCCGCCTCAGCCTCCCAAAGTACTGGGACTATAGGTGGGAGCCACCACACCCCTGCCAGAAATGGCAATTTCATATGGTCCAACCCTCTATTATTTGTTTAGTTTTGTATTTTATTTTGTTAATTTGCTTCAGTTTCTTTGATCACTTCCTCACATGTTCCTCCTGCAGCAAAGTGACTTTATCTACAGAGAAATGATATTGCACAGCAATTAAGAACTGTAGCTCTAGGGCCAGGCTGCCTAGGTTGAAATCTCTGGCATATACTAGCTGTATGAACCTGGGCCCATTACTTATTTTTTTGTGTGCCTCTATTTCCTCATCTATAAAATTGGAATCATAATAAAGAGGTGTTGTACAGACTAAATGACTTAACATATGTAATTGACTAGAATGCAATTTAGTTTCTAGTAGTGGCTCTTAAAGTCAAAGCCAGGCTTTGCTCATTTCTTACTGGCCTTCATCATATCTTTATGGTCCCCTCTTCACATGTAATTCACATCTTCTTATGAGTGAATCTTTACCATACACAAAAATAAGAAGTAACTTCCTTCACACCTCAGAGCATTTTCATTTTTCTTGCCTACCACTCACTGTGGAAAATAGGAGCAAGTATTTACTGCTCAATTACTGTGGACCAGGCATTTTGCATGCAATTTCCTATTTTTTTCAATAATTATATATGATATTTCTATGCCAAGTTTCCATTGCAGCCTCATCTTAGATTACAAGATGAGGATGCAAGGCATATTGGCATACAAGGTTGTAAACTTTTGGCATTGCAAAAACTAGCACACTTTGCATTTTGAAAAAAGTTATTTTTAAATAAATGAAATAATTACCATGCCCATCAGCCCTTGATGCAGCTTCTTCCCTCATAATAAGTCTATTATATGCAGTCTATGTCCAAGTATTAAAATAATTGTTGTTTTCATTCTTTTGGGCAGGAGAGCTTACATATACACAAATCAGATATCCCTCTCTTTTTTAGTTGCTTAACATAGCCCAGTGAAATGTTATTCTGCTTCAGTTTGTGCTTTGTATCACACCCACTGCTATGTTGGTTAGATTCAATTTGCAGTCTATGCCAACTTTTTTTTATACTAGCAAATAAAGGCCTTGCCTTGTAATCAAGGATTTCCACCACATGTAACCCTACCTTGCTTCCCAGTCTCATCTACTCTTACATGTCAAATAAAACCTAGCCTATGTAAAAGCATATTTGACATTGTTCGTCGTGTTTCTGTTCAAACGTTTCTAGTTATTGGCCTACATGACCTTAGACTTCCCCTCCCAAACATGTGACCATTTCTAATCCATCTCCCTTTCTTTTCTTCTTTTGGTTGCGTCTGTGACCATCATGGTAGCTTCAACCATCACCTCTGTGCCTCTCATCCACATGTCCTCACTTCTAGACCTGAGCTCTAAGTGCCAGGATGTAATCTTAGTAATCTAATCATGAGCCTGAGATTCAACATGAGTGTTGATGGGTGTTTCCACCCAGTATCCTTCCACCAAAACACCTCACAGACCGCATTCTTAAAAACTTAACAATATTCTTCATACAAAACCATTTCCATTTGTACTTTTCAATTTAGTTAATGACTGAGTTTTGAGATTGTCATGAGAATGTATGAGAACTTCTGCAGGTTTCATTCCACTATCCTTTCACCAGACAGAGCCAACTTTATCCATTTCAGACTGATGGGAGTACATCTTATTTTAAAAGTGATCTAGATGGAATGCTTCTCTGTTCATTCTCTATCCTTGCTGTTGGCCATACAATCCAATGAGACACCTCAACTCAAAAACTCAGGGTTATCTATGATTCCACTGGTGATGTGATCTGAAACATTGTGATATGTCCTTGGTCTCATCCTCACTGAATTAGTGGGAGAGTCCCAACACATAGTATAATATATTGCAGGCAGCTTCTCTCTTCCCTTGTGAAATGAGTTCTTCCATCAAAGATTTCCATGATATACCCTCTTTTCCTCCTCTCTGGATGCTGCTAAGGCTTTCTCATCTCTTCTGGCAGTCCCTCTCTCCTTTCTTCTAAACCTCTTCTGGAGGAAAGTGTATAAGCCAACACATCTTATTTCTTTGATTTTACACCATTGCCCTATTTTTCTTCTATTATGCTTCTTTTCTAGAGGCAACATGTGCAGTAGAAGGAATATGAGTTTGGGATTCAGCCTGAATACAGACTGTGCTCTTTCACTTGTGCACTGCCATGTTAATAAATCTCTCCTATCGGTAAAGGGGAGAGAGCATCACCTATCTTGAAGGGCTGATATAAGGATTTAATACTATATGGAATGGAATGGGATGTTCAGGCTCTGCACATCCAGCAGCTCTCAAACCCTTCGTATTCCCATTAGCAGATAGAAAGACAGGAGACCTGTGCCCTGTTCTCCATCTCTTCCTTCTCAAAGGCTCTGGGCGGTATTTACTGAGCATCTCTTGCAGAAGTTCATTATTCTCCTCACCTTATTCACCAGTGGTTGCTCCTTCTTTACCAGAATGCATCTCAAACACAGATGACTTGAGTACTGGGTAAGGAAAGAATTTTTATTTTCATTTTTTAAATGAATAAACCAAAGTTCACAGAAGTTACATGATTGGCTCATAACTTAACAGTTTGAGAAACTGTCCTTGGGAGATATGTCCTTAGACATAATAACATGCTTCTGTAATAGCCCTCAGAGAAAGATTTCCATTTCTCCTTTTGTACTTTTCAATTTAGTTAATGATTGGGCTCTGAGGTTGTCATAAGAATGTATGAGGACAACTTCTATAGTTCCACTATCCTTTCACCAGGCTGAACCAACTTTATCCATTTCAGACTGATGGGAGTACATCCTAATTTAAATGTGGTCTAAATGGAAAACCGGTAACAGTTTATCCCTGGATGGACCATTCCAGTATCAAACTTTCCTGACTTAAAGGCCTCTAAAACAATTCTCCTTTGAATAAAAACAGGGGGCAGATTATTTTCTAAGTGGCACAGAAATCAAGAGCCTGAGCATTCGTTTTAGACAGAACTGGATTCAAATTTCACCTTTGTCCTTTGCTATTCACTAGCTGTGTAACCTTGAAAGAGTTACTGAACATCTTTAAACCAGGAATTTTAATGCCTATTCCTAAGTTTACTCTGAATATCAAATTAGGTCATATTTGTAAAACAATTTACAGAACTTGGCTCAGTGTGACAAAAAAGTGGCAGCAAATGCATATGAACCACATGCTCCTTGAACAGATTGTATATTTATTACTGCAATAATGAAACAAAACAAAATGAAAAAAAAAAAAAAACACTGCTGAAATGATCATCAAACAGTTGTATGCAGCTACAACATATAATAACCTCTGAATGGTGATGACCACAGCTTTTCTCTTTTCATATTCCTTTTCCTTTTTGCTTACAGGATGTAATATTGTTCTAATCTTTAATTTGCCAAAGAAGTTAAGCAGTCTGAAGAAAATACACAGTATCTACTTCTGTTTCTCTCTGCCATTAAATCTTGATTGCAACAAAAAGAAATTATTTTTCCAGGTGTCCTCATTTGGTTGTTCCTTGATTTACATAAAAATGATCTCCTATCCTGTTCCCTCTTTTCCCCCAAATGAGGAGGACAATGAAGATCTGAAGTGCCAGCTGCAGTTCGTTAAGGAAGAAGCCGCTTTGATGAGAAAGAAAATGGCCAAGATTGATAAAGAGAAGGACAGATTCGAACACGAGCTCCAGAAGTACAGATCCTTCTATGGGGATCTGGACAGTCCTTTGCCCAAAGGAGAAGCTGGGGGCCCTCCCAGCACCAGGGAGGCTGAGCTCAAGCTACGGCTAAGGCTGGTGGAGGAAGAAGCCAACATCCTGGGCAGGAAAATCGTCGAACTGGAGGTGGAGAACAGAGGCCTGAAGGCGGAACTGGACGACCTGAGGGGCGATGACTTCAACGGCTCGGCCAACCCGCTCATGAGAGAGCAGAGCGAATCCCTGTCGGAGCTGCGGCAGCACCTGCAGCTGGTGGAAGACGAGACCGAGCTGCTGCGGAGGAACGTGGCTGACCTGGAGGAGCAGAACAAGCGCATCACCGCGGAGCTCAACAAGTACAAGTACAAGTCCGGCGGCCACGACAGCGCGCGGCACCACGACAACGCCAAGACCGAGGCCCTGCAGGAGGAGCTGAAGGCGGCGCGCCTGCAGATCAATGAGCTCAGCGGCAAGGTCATGCAGCTGCAGTACGAGAACCGCGTGCTCATGTCCAACATGCAGCGCTACGACCTGGCCTCGCACCTGGGCATCCGCGGCAGTCCCCGAGACAGCGACGCCGAGAGCGACGCGGGCAAGAAGGAGAGCGACGACGACTCGCGGCCGCCGCACCGCAAGCGCGAGGGGCCCATCGGTGGCGAGAGCGACTCGGAGGAGGTGCGCAACATCCGCTGCCTCACGCCCACCCGCTCCTTCTACCCGGCGCCCGGCCCCTGGCCCAAGAGCTTCTCCGACCGGCAGCAGATGAAGGACATCCGCTCGGAGGCCGAGCGCCTGGGCAAGACCATCGACCGGCTCATCGCCGACACGAGCACCATCATCACCGAGGCGCGCATCTACGTGGCCAACGGGGACCTGTTCGGACTCATGGACGAGGAGGACGACGGCAGCCGCATCCGCGAGCACGAGCTGCTCTACCGCATCAACGCGCAGATGAAGGCCTTCCGCAAGGAGCTGCAGACCTTCATCGACCGCCTCGAGGTGCCCAAGTCTGCGGACGACCGCGGCGCCGAGGAGCCCATTTCCGTGAGTCAGGTACAGTTCTGCCTATTGCGAGCCACGGCGGTGGCCAGGCTGGCCCGCGGAGCCGCGTCCCTGGGGGGCGTCTTGGCGCCCGGACCGCCGCGCCCCGCTTGAGGGAAGCCCCTCCGCTCAGGGCCGCTCTGGGGCCTGAAAGCCCCTGGCCGGCCCACCAGTTCTTCCACACTGTCCTCCTGCAGACCTGAGGTTTCTGTGACTCCATCACGTAGTCACCATTTCTTCCTCTTGTTTTGTTTAAAAGGAAAACTCAACACCGTTACCCTCAACTTCTATGGAAAGAGTAAAGGATTGTGAGGCACATTATTATTTTAGCAGGTCAATATTTTTCTCTATTACCCTGCTAGCAGATGGAACTGCAAGATGGTCCTGAATAGGAATCTTTAACTGCTGATCTGTGGTTTTTGAGCCAAGATCCAAATTTAGTTTAGGGTTTTTTTTAATGACTAGACTGGGAGGCCGAGTAGGGCAGATCGCTTGAGCTCAGGAGTTCAAGTCTAGCCTGGTCAGCAAGGCGAGATCCGTCTCTACAAAACATACCAAAAATTAACTGGGTGTGGTGGCGTGCACCTGTAATCCAAGCTACTCAGGAGGCTGAGGTGGGAGGATCACCTGAGCGCAAGGCAGGTCAAGGCTGCAGTAAGTGGTGATTGCACTACTGCACTCCAGCCTGGGCAACAGAGTGAGAGCCTGTTAAAAAAAAAAAAAAAAAAGAAAAGAAGAAGAAAGAAACTAAAACTAAATAAAACAGAATTGATGGCCAGGTGCTGTGGCTCATGCCTGTAATCACAGAGGCTGAGGAGGGCGGGAGGTCAGGAGTTCGAGACCAGCCTGGCCAACATGGTGAAGCTTTGTTTTGCTAAAAATACAAAAATTAGCCGGGTATGGTGGTGCACTCCTGTAATCCCAGCTACTTGGGAGGCTGAAGCAGGAGAATCGCTTGAATCCGGGAGAGGGAGGTTGCAGTGAGCCAAGATTGTGCCACTGCACTCCAGCCTAGGTGACAAAGTGAGACTCTGTCTCAATAAATAATTTAATTAAATAAAACCGAATTGATGGATAACTGCTGGTCAATGTAGAAACCAGTGGCAAAGAGACATGATTTTGTGTCTACAGCCTCCCAGAAAGGAACAAATGAAAGCCGCTTTTTTACCTTAAGTTGAAATAACATGATGATTATTTCCAGAGAAAATCACTTTCAGTTGTATAGTGGAGAATCTCAGGACTGGGAAAGGAGTCTATACAGTAGCTTGAAGGCAACACTAATTCAGAGAAATAGTAATAACTATTCCAGAACAGGGAAAACCAGCATTTTTCCTCCATCCTGATTTGTAGAGGCACACCGGATGAATTGGACTGAGCTGCTTTGGCCAGGTATGGTGGCCATTTAAAGACCAATGCATTTTGTAAGAGTTAACCACATGAAAGATAATTTATGAAATAAAACAGGCAATGCTGTTTCCTCTGGCAAGCCTGATGTCCTGTAACCATTGGAGAACCCACGGAAGTACAACAGCATGCATGGCTTTTAAGACACCCAAGATATTTAAAAGCCAGTTTACATACAGAAGCATGATTTTAGATTAACTGCCTGTTGGTACAGATTGCAACCCTATTGCTTATTTATCTTGCATGTTGCTCCGCTTTGCTATGAATAAATATTGTTTTATGATAAAACTTGTTGAATTTTGATAAGTTTTCAGTTATACTCTCAGGGAAAATAATTGAAATTAGAGTGAGAGAAAGTACAGTGTATAACTAATATTAAGCTTTCAGATTTTATAGCTATAGACTTAAGGGAGGGTGGGGGTTCTTTTTTTTTTATCTTAAGTTGAATGAATACTTAAATTAGTTGATATAAATTTAAGTTTTAAAAATTATTATTAATTAACTCTTCTCTTTGTCTTTGCATTTACCTTCCCAGATGTTCCAGCCTATCATTTTACTTATTCTCATTCTTGTATTATTTTCATCACTTTCTTACACAACAATATTTAAACTTGTCTTCCTTTTTACACTGTTTTTTGTACTGTAAATCGTTCATCATTTACCATTCATTGTAGTATTTTCAGTTTGTTTATTTTGTTCACCCTTCAAGACAAGAAGTAAAAGAAGTATAATTTCTGTAGTAACCAATGTTGTAAAAACACTGAAGACTGCTTATTTCTTTAAAAAGACACAACTCATCTTACCACTATCAAATTCAATAAGAAGCCCAACCACTAAAATGTTTCAGGTAAGATATTAAGTGTGTCTTTTTTCTGTATGAATCATTTTAATTTTTGCTTCTGTTTTTTCATCCTGTTGGTCTCTTCTTGATAAATAATTGGCATATTGAATATAAAAATGGACTACATGTCTCGTAATTATTTCTCAGTAGTTAACTATTATTATCCAAAAGCTGGACATTCACATTTTGGTCACACTTCCAAAAAGTATATAAATTTGTAAAGCACCTTTGCCAGGTTACATCAAACTAAAAAGATAATTTTGAGATCCAATAAATATCTGAAAAAATATGGGAAATGAAATGTGACCCTCATGAACACTAAGTAATGTGTTGTAATGCCGATGTGTTTTGTCTGTAGAGATATGCTTGAGAAGCATGAGACTGGATTAGGTCTTAGTTCATTTAGGAAATAATTATCCCTATCCTACTCTATTTGACCAGCTTCCCACCAAACCTGCCATTTCTACTTTTACTTATTACACTTGAAGTTGTGTATTGCTAATTAAACTTATTGCTTGGAATCCTAGCCTCTACAATAGATTGCCTCCAAAGTGGGAAATACTCCATAAATATGATAAGTGAATTGTTTTAAGTAGGAAAAAAAATATAGTCATTCTCTAGAATATCATTAAAATACAACCATTTTCTAGAATTTCTTTAGATCACAATCCAAGACCCATAGCATAGTTCTGGTGGGAGGTGCTCTTGAGATATAAACAAGCTTCAATGAACCTGAGCATCCCCTTTTCTCCCCATACCTAAAGTGGCCTGGATAGATTCCGTCTACCCAAAGGACCTATTCTGTCCATCTCATTGATAGTTTATCCAGTGCCATCCAAGATTCAGCAATCTCTGCCCTTGTTAAAGTCACATACTTGTAAATATTCATAGGTTGGTTGGTGGATATGAAAATCTGTGGAAAGTGAAGTATCTTACACCTGTGCAAAAAGAATATGTGGAAAAACTTTGTCATAAAAGTTGCTACTAGTAACGGCCCTTGGAATCCCAGGAATTTAGCTTTCAAGGGACTATGATTTATTTATAGTCTCATCCTCCCATGCATCCATTTGGGCATTAATTAAACAGACAAACAAAAAACCTTCACAATAATCTAAAACTTCAGTTTCAAATAACTGCTCTTTCTATAGGGTTTGTTTGGTTTTGGTTTTCAGTTCTGTTTGTTTTTTGGTAGAGGGAGGAGAGACTTACAGTGAGGAGTGGTTAATCAACTGTTGGAATCTGTCAGTATGCACTTCTGACTTTTCATTTTAGAGATTTAGAGAGCTAGGTAAAACTTCATTACAACAAAATGAGATAAATGCCATGTTTAATCAATTATATATAATTCAAGTGTTTACTTTTTTTTATTACTATAGTTACATAAAAGTCACATTTCATTCTAAAGTGTTTACTTTTAAAAAATTTTTCATCTCAGGGATAACAACCACTTTAAAACCTAAAATTTGTCTGTTAGATCCTTGATAAGTTTCCAGGCCGCCATTTCAGGAACTAAAAGTAAATGTTTGAGGGCTGAAATGTAGCTGAAATAGTTATTGCCTTTGAAGCCAGTTACACCAGTTAAATGGTTCTCAGCCACCTACAGAGCATTTGGAAGATTATTACAATGACTGGGAAGCTCGCTGGCATTTAGGACAAGGGATCAAAATTTCAAGATCCCTGCAATCCCACATCACAAAGAATTGTCCAAATTGCTGATGTTATCTTTGTGGAGAAACATGATATAGTATGCACTCATTCACTTCAGAGGAATCACACCTGTTCACTACCGTGTGTGACTTTAAGAAACTGGCTTTAGATTTTAGCTTTCTTTATCATGAGAGGAATCAAAAATGAAACAACTAGATCACTAGTTCTCAACACTAACTGCATATCAGAATTTCTGGGATGTTTTCAATTGGGGACCTATTCCATACTAATGGAAATAAAGTGTATGGACCTAGGCGTTCATATTTATTAAAATGCTCCAGGACAAATAATTTTAGATATTTGAATTATCTAAAATACTTATACATATTCTATATACCCCCAACAAAGCTTACAGTAAACTATGTGATACTAAGATATAGAATCTTCAATTGTATAGGTTTGAGTAGACTTCAAAGTTTCAGCCACTCAATGGATGTCTGAATTCTCTCTAGAGCATTTCCACTTAGTTGCATAGCCTTTGCCAGAAGAGATATCACCTCCAGGGATAAAGCAGTTCTATTTCCGCACTGGGGGTGATGTCAGAAAACTTGGCTTGCATTAATCCAGGTTCTTAAAACCACAAAATCAAAGGTAAATAGGAATAATACCTAACAGAAAAGAGAACCAAGATGAATAGTGTATGGGCACAGGGTCACACACACACACTGAGAGACATACGCATGTGTGCACACTGAATTCAAGATTCAAGATGATCTCACAGTGATCTAACATGCTATTACAACAAAATCCCTAGGCATTCTTAGGTGGACTTACACCATAAATATATGCAAGGGTGGTGCAAATACCTCAGTGATAACTTGTGACCTGAATAGGGAAGGAGAGATGTCTGGGCTAACCAAAACACCATCCTCAACTATAGATCTCTTTTTAGAAACCATGGCCATTCTGGAAACAAGAGTATTAATCTTACCTATGAACTTCTAAAGCAGTGATATGGTTTAGCTCTGTGACCTACTCAAATCTTATCTTGAATTGTAATCCCAACGGGTTGAGGGAGGGACCTGTAATCCCCACATGTAGAGGGAGGGTAGGTAATTGGATCATGGGGGTGGTTTTCCCCATGCTGTTCTCATGATAGTGAATGAGTCCTCATGAGATCTGATTGTTTTATAAATGTTTGGAAGTTCCTCCTTCACTCCTCTCTCCTGCTGCCTTGTGAAGAAGGTGCCTGCTTCCCCTTCCACCATGATTGTAAGTTTCCTGAGGCCTCCCCAATCATACAGAACTGTGAGTCAATTAAACTTCTTTCCTTGATTAATTATCCAGTCTCAGGGAAGTTCTTTATAGCAGTGTAAAGGTAGACTAATACAGGCAGTGATTTTGTAGAAGAATTTCATGAGACTCTTAAACCTCATCCAGATCCTCCATATGTGAAATGTCCATAAAATATTGGGGAGGGAAAAGTAGGCTCAAGCAGGACCAACTTGACTACTGCTCACAGATTCTTGGGGATATGGGATTGTTCTAACAGCTCCTCTGAAGTTAGTGAATCAACTTAACTGAACCGTTGAATTCCAGAGAGGCTCTTTTCCACTCTGCCCCACTCACTACATAGACCAGCTTCCCAGTTGTGCCTGTGTATATACACATAGCTCCCTCACACTGTGGTATATAATGAGAAATACATCCAGGGTCAGGGCATTCAGACCTGCCTCTATCTTAGGGGACATGCTGGGGACCAACTGATGGAAAGTGGGGTCAGCAAATTTGCCAGCAAGCATGAAGTGACCTTTTTCCTTGCTGTCTTTTTCCTATAACTTTAAGCTGTAAAATGAGCACCCAGTATCCAGGATGCACCTATCTCTTAAAGCACAGAACATAGATTTAGCAGGATAAGTGAACAAAGATGGTGCCCAAAACCTCAGAAAGAGAGTCCCCAGCATCTTCCCCTTTGATCCTGTTGCTTGCACTATTTTTGTTGTATTAAGCTGTTTCTGAAAGAGGAACGATCGGGCTTCTCGATTCACCAAGAGATCAAAGATTCTCAATTACTAAGATAAGGCGTCGTCTTTTCTTTGCACCTTTGAAGCTGTGCTATTTAAACATCACACCAAACTAAACTCAAAAGATCAAGCCTTATTCTAGAAAATTCCCTTTTATGCACATTCTTAACCATAGGAAGAAGTGTCTTTGTTAATTTGGCCTAGATCTAAGAAAAAAGGAATTCACTTGGCTATTTTTAAGCATAACTAACTAAACTCATAAAACAAAGGAAAATTCATTCCTGACTGTGGAATGTGTTTTGGCCTGCATTCTCCAATCTTCACTTTAGTCTGTGTGGTAGAATGGGATATGGTTATTTAATCAGCTGCCAGCAAATTTTGGAGTGCCAATTTGGTAGCTCAGCCTAAATTCCAAGTATTCGTGCAGTGTTTATAGCTTCATTCCAGTTCATCTAGTAGAGTCATGCTTTGGGTCAGATACCATAACTGAATGTAGAGGTTGAAGAGAAGGTGGTGGAGAATAGTACCAGAAAGTAAGAAAAGTCAACCATTTATTAAACTACTGGGATACAGTACAGTTAAAACATAGTATGCGTGAAGTCATAACTGCTTAAACCGTAGTTGTAAACCAGTTTGGTCTAATGAAAGATAGATTTAATTCTATGTTTTTAATTTTGATCTGGCTTTTGATAGGTAATTTCATTTACATTTTGATGAAACTCACATTTCATGGGTATGTCCTGATATTCTCAGTAGTCTACTGATAGAATTTCAAATAGAAACTCATGCAAAATAGAATGTTTCATGGCCTGGACATGGCAGAACACCTTGTAGTTATAGTGATAAATGTGATAATATCTTAAATGCTTCTAAACAGTACTTTCGTGTTGATCAGCTTAGAGAAGGGAAAGTGGTAGTGGCTGTTTTTCATGTTAGCCATTTTGAAAGTGTGTGCAAATCATAGTATCTCTAAAGGTCCTTTCCGTGTAACTTAAATACATTTTTATCCATGTCTTCTCTGCTTAAAGGTGTATTTTCCGTACTCACTGCCAGTTCCAGTCTGTGTCTGTCCTAGTGAAGTTGTGGGTAATATTTTAAATATTTCTGGAAGCATCTTTTGAGTAGATACTGTTATAACCTACTTGATCAAAGAATAAGAGCAGCAAATGTAACACTTACTCGTTAGAAATAAAGATAAACCTCAGAAATCTGTCTTGCATTGCTTACTGTTAAGCTAGGCTGTGTTATCTTAAAGAGCCCCATCTGATCTTATATCCCAGATAATTATGATTAATAATAATTAATCATAAAAATTAATCATAATTAATAATAATT